CAGGGTTTCACTGTGTTCGCCAGGATGGTCTCCATCTCTTGACCTCGTGATCCGCCCGTCTTGGCCTCCCAAAGTGCTGGGATTACAGGCTTGAGCCACCGCGCCCGGCCTCATTCAGTCTTTTCTTAAGTCTGACCTCATTCCCTGCTGCTGTAGTGCCTGTTCATCCTTGACCTCCCCTGGGACAGGGGGTCATGATCAAGTCTTCATTCCCTCTTCTGTATCTCAGGGGAACCTGGGCAGGCCAAGGACAGGTAGGCTCACATACCCTCCATTTCTTCCCCTTCCCCAGCTGGATCCTGTTTGATGAGAAGAATTTCGAGGGTGACCAGCACATTCTTTCTGAGGGCGAGTTCCCCACTCTCACGGCTATGGGCTGCCTAGCCTCTACGGTCCTGGGCTCTCTCCAGAAGGTATCCCTGGTGAGTTTCCATGTCCCGTTCCAGGCAATCCTGGAAGCGGAAGTTGCTGCTGGGGGAGTTCTGGACACAGAACCTGTGTGCTGGTGCAGGGGTTGACTCCAGTGTTTTTAGAACCCCCCTAGGTCCCCTTGACTCTGGGGCTGTAAAGCCAGTTAATTTGCTAGCTCTTCATTGAGCACCCACTGAGACAGGACCTGGGGACATGGAAAGAAACTGGACACAGCCCTGCCTGTAAGGAACCCATGGTCCCATAGACATAAAGATTACATGCAGAGTGGTGCATGCAGATACAGAAGTGGTGCGGGGATGGTGGGACTAACACTCAGGGCTGGGTGGGGCAGGGGCCAGTGCTGCCAAGGTGATGTTCCACGCAGGGAGGAGTGACAGGACCAGCTAAAAAGATGGCCCTGCCTGCCGCAGACCAATGGGAAGGGGCAAGGCAGTGGGGTTGCTGCTACAATGACCCAGAGTGAATTGTGATGTCCTTCACCTAGGAAGAGATGGATGGAAGTGACCACAATAAGGGGCTAGCATCTGTAGGACTTGGTGACTGACTGTGTGGCCAGTGGGGGCAGTACCCAGTCAGAACAGGTGATGCTTACTGAGTGCATAGTATGTGCCAGATGGTGTTTAAAATTAAAAGGCTTCACACCAGCCAGGCGCGGTGGCTCATGCCTGTAATCCCAGCACTTTGAGAGGCCGAGGCGGGCGGATTACCTGAGGTAAAGAGTTCGAGACCAGCTTGGCCAACATGGTGAAACTCTGTCTCTACTAAAAATACAAAAATTAGCCGGATGTGGTGGCGCATGTCTGTAATCCCAGCTACTTGGGAGGCTGAGACAGGAGATTCGCTTGAACCCACGAGAATGTCACTGTACTCCAGCCTGGGTGACAGAACAAGACTCTGTCTCAAAGGAAAAAAAAAAAGGCTTGCCACATATACTAAACCTTTTTAATCTTCTCCACAACACTGAGAGGTGTGTTCCCATTATTATCTCCCTTTTCCAGATGTGGAAACTAAGCCACAGGCTCCAGGTCACATAGTTGGTAACAGGCAAAGCCAGGCTCTCCCCCAGGCAGCTGGTTCTGGGGTCCTAGTCCTTTGCAACTACATGTTGGGCTTTGAAGACAGATAAACCTGGTTCTGAAGCCCGGCTTTAGGTCCCTGAGCAAGTGATTTACCCTCTTCAGCCTGTTTCCTCCCTATTAAGTGGGGGATGATAATAGCTTCTACCTTATAGGGTTGTTGAAGAGTTATAATGAGATCAGGTAAAGTGCTTAGCATAATATGGCCTGTAGTAAACCCTGATGAATGTGAGCTGCTATTATTATCAGTATTATTGTTGTTATTGTTATCATGAAGATGAAGAGGAGAAATCTAGAATGAGGCCAGGTGTGGTGGCTTGTGCCTATAATTCTAGTACTTTGGGCCGGGCGTGTTGGCTCACGCCTGTAGTGCTAGCACTTTGGGAGGCCAAGGCGGGCAGATCATGAGGTCAGGAGTTCGAGACTAGCCTGGCCAACACGATGAAACCCCGTCTCTACAAAAATTAGCCGGGCATGGTGGCTCTTGCCTGTAATCCCAGCTACTTGGGAGGCTGAAGCAGGAGAATTGCTTGAACTTTAAAGGTGGAGGTTACAGTGAGCTGAGATTGCGCCACTGCACTCAAGCCTGGGTGACAGAGTGAGACTCCATCTCAAAAAAGTTAAGTAAATAAATTCTAGCACTTTGGGAGGCTAAGGCAGGAGGATCACTTGAGCCTAGGAGTTTGAGACCTGCCTGGGCAACATGGTGAGACCCTGTCTCTACAAAAAATTAGCTAGGCATGGTAGCAGAGTCCCAGCTACTCAGGAGGCTGAGGTGGGAGGATCACTTTAGCCCAGGAAGTTGAGGCTACAGTGAGCTGTGATTGCACCACTGCACTCCAGCTTGGGCAACAGAGCGAGACTCCGTCTCAAAACAAAAAAAAAAAAAAAAAAAATCTAGGCCGGGCGTGATGTAATTACAGGATTACTCCTGTAATCCTAGCACTTTGGTAGGCCAAGGCGGACAGATCACCTGAGGTCAGGAGTTCGAGACCAACCAGGCTAACATGGCGAAACCCCGTCTCTACTAAAAGTACAAAAATTAGCCGAGCATTGTGGCACGTGCCTGTAATTGCAGCTACTCAGAAGGCTGAGGCAGAAGAATTGTTTGAACCCGGGAGGTGGAGGTTGCAGTGAGCCAATATCACGCCACTGCACTCTAGCCTGGGCAACAAGAGCAAGACTCCATCTCAAAAAAAAAAAAAATAAGCCCCAGGTTTCCATCCTGGCTCAGAGTGCCAGGTTAGTTCTGAGAAGTGCTATTTACCAGAGAGGAGATTTGAGGGGGAAATTGGGGGCCCAGCCTGGCACTTACTGCCTCTGAGAATCGGGGGCACTCGGCTGCCAGCGTCCAGGAGTTGGTGGCCCTGCAGAACTGATCAAAGGAGGGAAGAAGGCCTGACATGCAGATCTGGGAGTCTGGGTGTCTGGGATTGTGGGACTGTGTCTGGGACTTGGGCTCTCAGAGCCTCACCCTTGTCTGTCTCCTGGGCCCCAGCACTTTTCAGAGCCTTCGATTTTCCTGTATGGACTCCAGTGCTTCGAGGGGAAGGAGATCGAGCTCAGCAGGGAGGTGCGGAGCCTGCAAGCCGAGGGCTTCAACAACCACGTGCTGTCCGTGCGGATCAAGGGGGGCGTGTGAGTGCTGAGGGGAGGCACGGGTGCGGGGGCTGCTGGTGGGGATGAGTCATGGCAAGACGGAGATCCTGGGGGTCTCTGGCCTCTTTCCCCTCCCCACTTTTGCCCCACTCCCCTCCAAGCCAGGAAGGAGGGAGAAGTGCAGACTGAGAAGGATCACTGGCTCTCAGGGCTTAGACCTCAGCTTGGTGGGCTTCTCAGGATCCTACTTTACCCTGCAAACCCCAAATCTACTTCCCAGCCTCCCTCTCCGCCCTGGGAACCCTATTCCAGGCAGAGGAATCCCTGCATGAGAGAAGAGGAGGTGGAGAACGTTTTGATGTCTGTGTCTCCTCCTCTACCTGTCTGTCTGTGTGTCTGTGCTCTTCTCTGTGTCCCTGACACCTGCTGGGCCCAGTTGGGTGCTATGTGAACACAGTGACTTCCGGGGCCGCCAGTGGCTGGTAGGAAGCTGCGAGATCACCAACTGGCTGACCTACAGCGGCACCCAGAGGGTGGGCTCCCTCTACCCCATCAAGCAGGTGGGTAGCGTGGCTGGCGCTGAGCATGTCTGGGGCTGAGCGTGTCTGGGCAGGCCTTTCTGGATGAGTGTCTAGCTGTGTGTTTCCCAAACACAGCATTTGTGTACTTTTGTCACAATTTTTGCCACATCGTCATTCCTCTTGAGCCATTGTCTACTTAATATTTTTCTCTAGATTAACTCTCTTTTTAAAAGTCTTTTAATTAATTTTTATTTCTCAAAAAAGCTTTTTTTTTCTTTTTTTTTTTTTTGAGACAGAGTCTTGCTCTGTCACAAAGACTGGAGTGCTGTGGCAACATCCTGGCTCACTGCAACCTCCACCTCCCAGGTTTAAGTGATTCTTGTGCCTCAGCCTCCCAAGTAACTGGGACCACAGGCACGTGCCACCATGCTCAGCTAATTTTTGTATTTTTAGTAGAGGCAGGGTTTCACCATGTTGGTCAGGCTGGTCTCGAACTCCTGACCTCAAGTGATCCACCTGCCTCGGTGTCCCAATGTGCTGGGATTACAGACATGAGCCACCATGCCTAGCCCTTTTTTTTTTTTTTTTTTTTAAGATGAAGTTTTGCTCTTGTTGCCCAGGTTGCAGGTTGGAGTGCAATGGCACAATCTCGGTTCACTGCAACCCTCTCCCTCCCAGGTTCAAGTGATTCTCCTACCTCATCCTCCCAAGTAGCTGGGATTACAAGCATGTGCTACCACAACTGGCTAATTTTGGGGGGTTTTTTAGTTTTTGTTTTTTGTGTTTCGAGATGGAATCTCACACTGTTGCCTGGGCTGGAGTGCAATGGCATGATCTCGGCTCACTGCAACCTCTGCCCCCTGGGTTCAAGCAATTCTCCTGCCTCAGACTCCCAAGTAGCCAGGATTACAGGTGCCTACCACCATACCTGGCTAATTTTTTGTATTTTTAGTAGAAACAGGGTTTTACTGTGTTGGCCAGGTTGGTCTCAAACTCCTGACCTTGTGATCTGCCCACTTCAGCCTCCCAAAGTGCTAGGATTACAGGCATGAGCCACTGTGCCCAGCTAATTTTTGTATTTTTAGTAGAGGTGGGGTTTTATCATGTTGGCCAGGCTGGTCTCGAACTCCTGACCTCAAGTGATCCACCTGCCTCGGCATCCCAATGTGCTGGGATTACAGGCATGAACCACTGTGCCTAGCCCCAGCCCAATTTTTATTTAGCTTTCTGAGTCTGTGCTAGTGCCTTCAACACTTTCATAATGATTTTCAGCTGCTGCATAAGGCCAGCAGGCTTGATCCTGTCACAAACACATTTAGCACACGTGGAACCGCCATAGGCCCTCCTGACATGTTTTTTGTTTGGGACAATCTCATAAGTACTTTAGAAACTCACAGCATGAACCCCTTGAAGTCTGCCTGGGCACACGCCACAAGCAGATTTTGGTGCTTTCCCAACTTTGTTGGTGTAAAGGTCAACAATTCTATTACCAGGGGCTCAGGACTGCCTAGTTTTGTTAGAGGCTGTACCATAGGAAAACCTATAACAACAATATGTCAAATGCTGGAACATTCTGAGTGTCTCTAGACAACATCCCCAGAAGAGGAAAAAGAAAAAAATCACTTTTTTTTTTTTT